ATAATTTTGCTCAATTTTTAGATAAAAGAACTATCGTGTACTGGTGGGAAAAACCTGAAATATGCTATAAAAAGAATTATGTCCAAATTGTTTTCGAACTCTTTTCTTTCGCAATATTCATTTTCCGGAAAGAAGGGAAAAAAGAAATTTTGTAATTTGTTTTTACTCCCAATTATTTTAAGTAAGTAAATTATTATTGATATTATAATGCTAAGTTATTTGTTTTACCATTAACATTAATTTTGTCATACATATTTTAAAGCTTAATTTAGACTGCTTTTATATGTATAGCTTTAATTCCTACTAAAACATCGTTTAAAACAACTATTTGCATCTGATTAAACATTTCAGATAAAAACAATAATATTATATTAATAACAATTTATTCAGATGACTAAAATAGACAGAATCCCACATAGTAGTACCTATAAGTGCACCATAAGTAGCTTAGAAGTTTAAAAAAAATCATTAAGTTGTTAACTATTTTATAATACCAATAATAATACTTAAATATATTTATAAAAAATAAAGTTTTCTGTTAGTGAAATTTATATAAATGTGAAGTTTTCAATTCTTTTTTGTATAATTTGTGGAATAAAACCTTATGTGCAATGTATATGTAATATGCACATTGTGTCAGGGGCGAACCGAGGAAAAAAATTTCAGGTGGGTTTTGAAAAAAATTAGAATTTTTTGAAGGTTCATAAGTGAGAATAACTACGTTTGTAATTAATCATCCATTCATTTCAGAGGGGGATTGAACCTCCCCTCTGCCACTGTGTTGTGTACATGGATATTGTATTTACATATATATATATATTATATTTATATAAATTATACTAACTATTGTCATTATTTTTTTTTTTTTTTAATAGAGTCGATCAAGAAACAACTTAAATTTATAAATATAAGTGACCATGATATTGAAGAACCGATTAAAACATATTTGGCTCAAGCCCCGTTTGCCGAAAAAAGAAAAAAAAATGATTGATGTAAAATTGTTATACAAAAGTTAATATTATATGAAAACAATAAAAGATAGTCTAAAAAAAAATACTAGTTTTATTTACCTAAAATATTCTAAACATTGTTGTAGTAAAGTGTTTAATGTACATGAAATTCTACTAATATAATATCACATGCTATATTAGTATTATTTTCTATAATTTAATTCTTCATTGGCGTTAAATTATGATTTGACTGCATATTAGTATAGAGTTTATTTCTACAACTGTGGTAGATTATACATTTATTAAAAATTTAAATGACATATTATTTATTATGAGGACTGAAGTAAAATTTGAATAGTACTTATTTTAGAATTTTGTATCTGTTCAACTATAATAAATATTAATACAATAATTTAAAATTAATAATAGCTAACATTTTTAATTAAATATAATTCAATATTATTTTTATAATGTTGGATAATTAATTTGTTTTATAATGCTTATGAAATATTGATAAATAAATGTAAGATAAATATATAATTTTGGTTCATTCAATGATTATTCAATATTGGGCAAATATTAAAAAATATTTAATAAATCAAAAACTAATGTTAATTATACATTTAATTTTTACAATATTAAAAAATAAATATTTGTGCATTATTTATTGAATGTTTGTTTGTTACTTGGGGACATGTGATTTAATAAGCATATAAAAATCAGCTCATCAATAGGAAGTGTAATAAGTACAACACTTTTATAATTAAATAAATTAAAAACTGTGCATAGAGAGTATGGTGCAATCAATTAATTAGTAAAATTTAAGGTCCATGTAATGGTGAATTACACTAAAGAATGAATAAAGTTGAATAGTAGCATCTTAAATGTTATACGATTATAAGCATTCAACATTTGTGTCATATGTGATATTATAATGTTTGACTACATATCAATAACACGTGACTTAATAAAAGCATATAAAAATTGCTCACCGATAGGGAACGTAATAAGTACAGCACATTTTGAATAAATAAGAAACAGTGTGGAGAGCATATTGTAATCAATTTAGTATCATTACTAAAAAGTTAGTAACATTTAAACTACACGTTATAGTGAATTACATTGCAGACCGAATAAAGGTCAAGGTTAGGTTAGGTTAGGCTAAGGAAAAAAAAGGTAAGAAAAAAAAAAGAGTGCAAATTTGTATAGTAGTAAACGCAATTATTAAAAACGAACGTTTCGCACAGACGCTCGGCGAAGAAAGTCACCCGAAGTCGGAGCGGAGAGCTGACCCAGGTCCATTGCGCTCTTAGACCTCTACTCCGCCAACACATGACAGCGGTTGCGGTATTACCAAAAGTTGCCCATCTAATTTAATTTGTTTTCAATAAGCTTTTTTTCAATGGTCAATGATTTTGACAGACCCTTGGTATTGGTAATGGCATCGGTAAATACGTAAAATGCAAGGCAATACTAAACGGTGGAATGAATTCTATATTTATTTGCCATCGACCAGTGGAAGTGAGTACACGTATCTATTATATTTTTCACTTTTTTTTTTTGTTTTTTTGACAACTTGCCTAATGTTAGTTTTTCGTTGTAGAATGTTTCATTTTACAAATTGTTCGGCGACGGTGCTGCAAGCCCCGTTACCAATAAACCGTCTGCAATTGTAGAACCAAAAAGTATGTATAAATATTGTCCATTGTCATTACGTGTACAGGTGTCCCGTTTTAAATGTACCACTAAATAACTCAGCTCGATAATCTTAGATTGAAATACGGTTTGCTGCAATAGGTAAGGGGTACTGAAGTACACATTTAAGGACAAATTTCAAATTTTCAATTCTTGTAGTATGCTCATGTACAATACAATTTTTTTTTTTTTAATTGCAACACCTATTTTTGTCACCGGATATGAATAGATTATTTATTCTAAGTAATTTTGATTCGTTGACCATAGTTGTAAACCTAAAATTGAATGAGTTACAGCTTTTTGACATTTTAAAATAATTAAATTTTTTCGATGGATCAAAATTACTCGGAAAAAAATAATCTATCCATATCCGGTGACAAAAATAGGTGTTGCAATTTAAAAAAAAATTTTGTATTGCGCATGCGTATACTACAAGAGTTAAAAATTTGAAATTTCTCCTTAAATGTGTACTTCAGTACCCCTTAGCTATTGCAGCAAACCGTATTTCAATCTAAGATTATCGGGCAGAGATATTTAGTGGTACATTTAAAACGGGACACACTATGCAATGATAAACATAGTAATGTTGTCCGCTTTTCTTTTTCAGGGTGTTACAATTGCAGAAAAACGGGGCACTTGGCCCGCCATTGTAAGTGTATATTGTGTATATTATATATATTATACATATGATCGTAAGCAATGCATCTAAAATATTATTTATTATTATGCAGGCAGAAAACAAAATGTTCAGAGGGGCTTGTCCCCTCACCGGAGGCGAGACCGGTCACCAATAGTCAGGCGGGACTCCCCCCCCCCCCCCATATTGGGGAACGGGATGAGCCGGAGTCGCCGACAATCAACGTCGTCGGCGGCTCAAAGTCTGGCCACGATGACCATGAAAGTGAGTAATATTAAAAATTTTTATATATATATAATATTATGTAATATACATCTTAGTTATAAATGTTGTTAAATACATTGTTTATAGGATGACGGCTTTACAGGATTTGGTAAGCTACAAAAAGTTACTGTGGGCTAATTTTTGAGCCCTTTTTATTTTCTAATTCTTATTTGTTTTTGTATATATTTTCAGAATGAATAAAATATAATATATATATATATATATATCAACAATAATTTATAAGTGTTTTTTTTTATACATAACCTAACCTAACTTATATCGCAACATATATATAAGATATAACAGATGTTATCATAACTATAGGTTTGCACAACTTTCCTTTAAAATGGAATGCATAGGCTCAAACAAATTACTGCTGGTACTATTGGTTAATGAATAATACTAAAGACAACATTAATTGTTAACCAATGGCTTATTTTAGGTAAGGGTAGCCTAAAGGTATATATTGCAATAAAATAAGTAAGAAGAAAATTGAAACTTTTCAAATGTAGTTGACTAATAAAACATGGGTATCAATTAATTTTATTATATTTTTTTAATGTAACACATTAAACTCAATACAATTAAAATTATAATAATAAGTAAAAATTATATAAAGTATAGTATATAAATGATATGTATAATACATTTTTGCATGCCAACCACATAAAAATGATGACAAATAATACAATATTTAAGGATAGTTACATCATTTGAGGAAGCATATTTATATATATATTGTTTAATAATATATCACATTATCATATCACATGTATATGTAGTTTTCTTGTTTTTAAAGTTGTTCGAAATATTTCAAAAAATAATATTAATATGTGTAAGCTAATGTAAAGGTTAGTATATATAAAAATATAAGGTGTGAATTGCAGTTATTAAACTTGGTAATACATATATATATATTAGTATAACGTTACATGTTTGCTTTAGGAAATTGACATTGTGTTAACAATTGACACAGATACACCAAGCTCCTACTAAAACGCTTAGCTTTTAAATAAATATACTGCAAAATGTCTATCCAATTCTTGCATTCAAACTACTTATATATACATATATATTTTTAATATTATTGATATACATATTTTAAATAATAATGAAAGTATGTGCATTCTCATAACAGTGTAATGTACCCATATTTATTGTACATTACATTTGCTTAGGTAGGTTAATTTTTAAATTATTAAATTAAATAATTATTACATTGCAAAGGATATATATATATATGCGTATAATAATAATAGTAACATTTACAATTTATTAAAGCGTTAACAATAACATTTTAGAAGATAGGTTTAAAACGGTGATATATATAAATAAAAACAATTATTATTTGGTGGTAATGCAAAAAAACAGTTGTTTGAATATTTGAATATCGAGCACTTGAACCGTTTCTGAATTTTGCGTTTCACATATGGGTTAATGAATAATACTAAAGCATGTTGAAATTAAAACAAAAATGTTTTTCAAGACTTTCATTTGCTGAAAAAAAAGTTTTAGTTGAAAATAGTAGACCGTGTCCAGATCTTGACATTTTAACAACAGTAAAAATTAAAAAGACTGGAGTTGATAATACGTCATGCACTCGGCATTTTCGTAAAGAACTTTATAATATATCTGATTAGTTATGCGGTTGTGAAGTATCGAATACATTTTTTTGTTGGTCTTGTTTACTATTTTCTACCAAAAAACTGTTTGGAACAATCAAGGTTATGATGATTTAAATCATTTAAATACAGCTGTTAAAAAACATACTGAATCAGAAATTCATATAGCTGCATATTTTAAACTTAAAACATTTTTATCATCTTCAACTGCTAGAATTGATATATCATTAGATAAACAAAGAAAAATAGATATTCAATTACATAATGAAAAAGCTGCAAAAAATAGAGAAATATTAAAAAGATTAATAAATGCAGTATGTTTTTTAGCTAAGCAGGAATTACCTTTTAGGGGACATAATGAAAACAAATATTCAGTTAATAGGGGAAACTATATGGAATTATTGATTTCTAGCCAAGAATTTGATCCATTGTTACAAGAACATTTAAATACATCTACTATTTTTCGAGGCACTTCTGTTTCCACACAAAACGATTTATTAAATTCTGTTGCTGATGTTATTAAACATGAGATTTTTAATGCAATTCAAAATACACAATACGTGGCAATTATGCTTGACGAAACGACTGATATTAGTAATAAATCGCAATTATCGACAGTACTGAGATATTTTTCACAAAACGAAAACAAAATTGTTGAACGTTTTCTTGGATTTGATGACATGAGTGCTGACAAAACAGCAGCCTCATTATTTAATCACTTAAATCAAGTAGTAGACAAATTTAAAATTGAAAGCAAATTAGTGGCACAAACATATGACGGTGCAGCAGTAATGTCTGGTCATTTAAACGGTTTGCAAAGTAAAGTTTTAGAGAAATATCCTAAAGCTATGTTTACTCATTGTTATGCGCATGTTATTAATGTAATACTTCAACAATCATTAGAATGCAACAAGGAACTTAAAATATTTTTTCGAGGTCTTAACTCTTTACCTGTTTTTTTTTCTCATTCCCCTAAAAGACTAAAAGCACTTTCAGAATTTATGACTAAAAAATTAGCCACATTGGCTACTACTCGTTGGAACTTTACTTCACGATTAGTTCATACAGTTCATAATCATCGAACATCATTGGTTGATTTTTTTATGTTTGTCTATGAAAGTGGTGATTTTGATCATGTTACTGGAATGACAGCAAAAGGATTTGCAAACTTTCTTCAAGAAAATAAAAACATTTTTATTATACAAATATTATCTAATCTTCTTATTTTTACTGATGTATTGTTCAATATTTTACAATTAAAAAATTTTGATATTTTATTTTGTAGTCAAAAAATACTTGATTTTAAAAATCAATTAAACCAAGAAAGGGAAAATTTTGATACTATATGGGCATCGTTTACTGAAAATTCAAACGAACTTGTAAGTAATCGCAGGGTTAGACAAATAGAAACTGATAAAAAAGATTATTATAGACGTCTCTATTTTGAAATAATCGACAGTATACAAACTCAAATTAATATCCGTTTTAAATCGTTTGAAAAATTGCAATATTTTAATTTACTTAATCCTTCAAAAATTAAATGTTTTGCAAAAAAGATAATTTTCCATCTAATTTACTGAAAAATTTACAAGACATTTATGGCGATTTTTTCAACTATGGTAAACTACAAAATGAACTTCATGTATGGTACACCTTAAACGAATCATCTGATAAAAGCCCTATTGAAATTATGAATTATCTTTCTGAAATGAGCTTAATTAGTGGATTTTCCGAGGTGTATAAATTGGCACAATTAATATCTACTATACCAACAACCACCGCTTCAGTAGAGAGATCATTTTCATCTTTAAAAAGAATCATATTGTCGTTCAACTCAAACTCAAGAAAGGATGAACAACTTAAGCATAATATCGATAGAAAAAGAATTGGTTTTCAAATTAAGAGCAAATAGAAGTAAATTTTATGAAGATGTTATAAACAAATTTATTGAGAAAGAGAGAAGAATAGAATTTGAATTCAAATAAAAATCAGTCTATAATATATTCATTATTATATTAATTTGTACATTTTCAGTTTTATATTATATTTAATTTTATAGATGTTGGATTTGGATGTATTTTTAAAAATTTAAAAGTATTTAAAATAATTAATTTTAATAATATGTTGATTGTTAATAGTTGATACTAATTTATTTCCCATAAGGGGAGTTTTCCTAATTGTTTTCCTCACACATTAACGCCTAACGCCGAAAGTCAGGAAACGCCACTGAAAGAGACATAGCCGACGCCGATCCCGTAGGCGTGCGTCCTAGGCCACTTACAATGCGTTTCGTCGCTGATGCGACCCGAGATCAGCGGCGATACAACCTGCCCACCGCAAATGAAGTCGCGGCTGTGTTCGTTGGTGACGGCGGTCGTCCGCCCAGAAACCTCGATCTGGTCGTCTATGACACGAATCCAATCAACCCGCAACACAGGATGCAAAATATCCCTGCGTGTTTGTTAATGACTATTTCACACAATACTCTTTTGATTTAACTGTTCATTTACATTCACCACATGAATACACTTTTATTTATTAACTCTAGGTGTAACTCTTAAATACTGGCTGTATTGCATTCAATTTGCATGGTTGGGTGTTGTATATCATGCACAATAGTCATTACATTATTAGAACTTTCAGTTTCTCAAATACAGCGCCGGTTAACATAATATCCATCATGTTATTTACTATATATCAATTTTCTACTAAACTGCAAACAACACTCAATTGATTCTTTATGATATCAAAAACTATGTTACATTTGTATCATCGATTGTATTGATAATATTAAGGTAGATTTTTTTTCACTCAAAAATTCCATGTGCATTTATGAATTACCTACATCGCAATTACACGCACATCAAATGGCAATGCGTTGTTTTGTGTGTTTTATGTGTTGTTTATTTACCAACTATTTTATCATTAATCGAACCTATAGTTACATTATTTCAATGCTTAATTCACTGTGTGAATTATTTTATAAGTTGTCGAATCCACTCGACCTGCAACACAGGACCGACTAACTAGAGTTACTAACTGTTTCACACAACATTCTTTTTGTTATTGAACACATACAACTTCCATATAATTGGAACTATCAGATGATTCAATTATTCACTAAATTTATACATTATTGTATTAATTAACACTACTAGGATTATTAATTACTTTGTACACCTCATGGGTAATAAACATGCACAAATAATATATATATATACCCACCCTAAACCTTAACCCTTTCACTTGTGAATTTACACCTGGGAGTACTGCATTTTAAAATTCACTTGGTTGTAAATAATTTTTTGAATTCACATTAATAACAAAAGTCATTGCGTTACTACGCAGTTTGCTAATTCATGAGTAATTATGACTTATCCGTCCAATCACAATAAATTGTTTTATGTCTGTTGTTTACTAGATATTTTATCATTTTATTACTTCAAATAGAGATGAATGTATTGATTTTACAATGATTTGTGTTTTTTTGTACTTGTGTTTGTCATCACCACAGTAAAAATGATTAAATTTTCTTCAACAGCAGTGTTTTTTCTGATAAGAAAGTGAATCTAGTTTGTTTATTAGGGGGTCAAAAGAAAAAAATTCTTTATAGTTTTGATTTGTGAAAATTCCCGTTTTTTCTTAATTTTTCTTTTGTTTTTTCCTACGATATTAAAAACTATAGAGTTAGTTATAGATAGAGTATAGTTTTTAATATCGTAGGATATCGTTTCCCAAGTGTAAGAACAAGAACAAAGTTTATTCGATCTCCGTTCAACCTTATATATTATAGATTAAACAAAACAGATATTAATTCAATAATTATTTAGTTAGTTGATCAAAACCATAATCCGATTGCCAACTTGAACGAGACATTAACAGTCGTTCTGCATATTAAACGTCACGGATCTCATTATTAAATTCGAATCTCAAATTTTGAAATGCACGAGTCAGTCACTTTAAGTTTAATTGGGAATACCACTATATTGAATACAAATTATTTTTCGTCTATAAACCTTTATGAGGACTCAGAAATAGCTTTGTTATGTTTACAAACATTTAATTCATTCCCGAATATCAACAAAAATAACAATAAATTTGCTATACAAGACAATAATAACAATAATAATTACATGATGTGTTATATTAAACTGAAAGAGGGATGTTATGAAATTAAAGATATTAATTATAGAGTTAAGGAAAAAATAGATATCTATAATAGGAAATACGATAAAGAGTTAACATTCGACATTTCAATGGATCCTAATGATTTCAGATCAAATATAAAATGTAATGGAATTCTACACTTTGAGATTTTAAACAGTATAGCTCCTGTATTGGGGTTTGAAAAACGAGAATATGGGCCAGAATATGAAATTCTTCGTTCGGAAAAAGCTACTAATTTAAACACAATTAATTCTATAAAAGTAATGTGTAATATAGCTCAAGGATCATTCAGCAATCATCTCCAAAGTCTTTCAATTTACGAGTTTTTCCCTATAGTGAAATTACAGGATCTAAAGTAATCCAGTCACCACGAAACTAAATTGAATAAAACAAATTTTGACTGAATAACCGTTCAGCTAAGTTGATCAAGATCATAACCTGCTTGATAATTTTGGTGAGACATTAACAATCGTTCTGCATATTAAACGTTACGGGTCTTGAGATGGGATTAAAATTCAATATAAGCCCATTACTTCAGATCAGTCCAACTAGTCGTAAGACTAAAGTGGTACTAGCAACATCGAATAAAGTTAAAAAATTAACAGG